TTATCTGATGTGTGGGTGCAAATAGAACTTGAAGCCTCCCCTGGACTGCCCCAAAGAACCGGCAAAGGCATCCAAAAGCGCGGTGTAATTTTTACCCCCAAGATTTTCTAAAAGCAATGGCAAGCATTTCTTGCATTTTTGATGTGTGGGTGCAGCCCCCATCCGGGTCTTGAAGTAGTAGAGGACTGCAATGAAGCGCCACACAGTAAGGTGTCCCTGTCTGCCCGGCCGGGTGTTTCTCTGAGCCTGTAGCTGTTAAGAAAGACAGTAAAAGACACATCATGCATTCAGTGGAATGGTGGTATGCACCACAGCAATAAGCGAAGCGGCGCAGCTGGGAGTTGAACCGCGGGGGGGGGGTTAGCTTGATATATCAATCTTTAAGGCACGCAGCCCCTCCCACCACAACATTGCTAAAGCAAAGAAGAACTCAGCTAGCATGCTAGCTTTCGTGACAAGAGGACGACAAGGCCTAGCCACGGAGTTGACAGAGTTCAGGGGCGCGGCCAAGAGGAGGACAAGGCCCAGCCACAGAGCCCAGCCACAGAGCCCAGCCACAGAGTTGACAGAGTTCAGGGGCGGCCAAGAGGAGGACAAGAGGAGGACAAGGCCCAGCCACAGAGTCCAGCCACTGAGTTCAGGGGCGCGGCCAGTGAGTGTGGCCAGCTCTTTTCTTTCTAAGATAGAACCCCAACCGTAAACTGTTTGGGGAACAATGTTTTGGTGATGTCGTTTTATTTGATGTGTCTTCAAGACCCAAAAGAATGTATATGTTGGCAGGAATATGTTGGGTGGGTATAGTCACTGTTTAATGCAGCCATCAATGTTCACGCCAGAATAAAGTCTAGTGACCAAAGTGGTTCACAAATGTTCAAGCAAGTGCACGGTGACAGCCTGCAGCCCTTGAAGCCCGTTCGCACAAATGTTGCACGGCCACTTTCTGGAACCTGGCATACTTATTGACTGTTTGGTGAACCTGGCATTGTTGGTGTCTGGCCCAGTTCAGTCACATGACAGAATGACGCTGCAGCGATGTCTGCTTGTGCTTTACGGAGTCCCTCCTGCCGCGATTTCTATGGGTCGGACTTACCAGGATTTCATGCCCATTCGCAAGAGATCCGCTGATTAAGAGCATCTGGTTCTTCTCAGTTCCCTTCCTCCGAAAGGGCGGCTGCTTTTGAACTCGGTAGTTCTTTTTCAACCAGCGTCCTTGCACATAGCACCGCTCTGAATTTGCACAGTGAGTGGCGCGATTTCCCTATTCGTTGCAAAAACAAAACACTTTGTGTGGAGGCCTCACCGCTGTCTTCAATCCTGAGAAGGAGTAGTCACAGCCTTCAAGCAATACCTTGAATGGGAGTGTCACACTGTCAACAAGGCATTGCAGACAAAACTCAAGCACTTGCACCTGGCCTTGTCTCGGGTCTTCGACAAGGGTTTCGGGAGTGGGTGAACCTGTGCATGGTTTCTTGAAATTTGTGCCTTGTCTTTTTGAGACACACTTGGCAAGTTGCAGTTCTTCCACCTTGGGGTCACCATCTTTTGCTAAACGTTCCAAATGAGGTCCTCCAGGCACCTGTTGCGATTGAAACGTGCACTGTTAAGCTGTCAAACCGTTCAGGCAAATTCAAGCGGGCACCTGGGTAATTCCAAGCACCCGTGCCTGGGAATTTGTTCCAACAATGACATTTTTATGTTGACTTATGACGATGACATATCAAATCATTTATTAGCTGCACATCCCAAGGGGCACGCAGTTTTGTCAAATGCCTCTCCAATTGAATCGTCAATGGTGCTTCCCAAGATCACATGTTGGCCAACCTTTGTGAACCAAAAGCAAGTAACAGCCTCTCGCATCCTCCTCGGAAAACACACTGGGTTTCAGACACCTCTAGTCAACACAGCCATGTTGTGCCCACCAGAAACTAGCAACCTGGCATCCGAATCATCTTGAAGTCTCAAATTTACACGTTCCACAGAAATCCCAAAGCGTGAAAAGCGCGCGTCAGGATTGGGAACGCGGGCCCACAGAAACCTGACAGTTTCGGGCAATGTTTTTTTGATACGCCCTGCCCCCCCCCCGACTTCGTTACCAGTACTTCAAGCAATGCCTTCTGCTGGCGTCGGCGATTGTGGCAATCTCGTCACCTACGAACGGCAAAATTGCATTTCATGGCATTTCCCACTTGACACGGTTTGCCAATCGGGATCAATCCGGCAACTGAGTCATGTGCCATCATGTGCGCTTCCATATGATGAACACGTACCTGAATTCAGTGGCATTCTTCAGGGGATCTGATTGGCTTCACCGCGCTCAAATCAAAAGTTATGCTTAAAGGCGCCACAAACAACATCGCCGTTCAAACTGGGGTGACGCACCAAAGGTAATCTGTATTCTGCTGCAATATGCAAAGCCTGGCAAAAGATTGGCCAAACCACTCTGGTTGGCCTACAAGTTTCTTCTCCAGCGCCTTGCGCACACCGACTTCAAGACAAAGCCCCAAACCAGGTCCCACCTCAGCTTGGTTCGATCAAGCCCTTTGTAGGATTCAGCTTGAAAGCAGCGGACAGTGACCGCCACGCCAGAGAGCTCTGCCGCAGAGATGCCTCGGGAGGACATTGTCATTTCATGCGAAACCGATTGTCGCGATAAAGTGCTTCCGACCTGCTCTTCGCAAGGCTTCTTCGACTGTCTCATCAATGGCCTGGACAGTTGAAGGCCAGGCAGGCGGCCACACAAACTCGTGCCGCATGTGAACCATTGCATTTGCATCTGCCTTCCGGTGCCCTTCTTGAGCTAGTCGAGGCACAACACCACCCCATTGCTCATGAATGCCAGCCTTTGGGCTATCTACGCTGCTACACGCCACAAACTGCAAATGTGGATAAAGTAAGCGTGGTGAGTTGTGAGATCGATCCAATCTCCCAACACTCCGGCCTGAGAAGCTAGCGCTTCACCAAGAATCTTGCCATCGCCCCTATGGGCGTGACATTGCGAGTGTGACATGACATCAAGATTCCAATGATTCCTATCCGTGACCCGGAAGCTATCGATGTCCATGGCCCATGGCCGTCTGTAAACATTAGTCAATATGATCACACCCTATAACCCCATGTCGCCTCAGAACTGCGGCGCCAGTGTCATCACAACTGGACTCAATTCCAAGGACGCGCCTGAGGCAGATTTTACAATCCCTAATCCAGAAATCCATTCCAATTGAAATCTCAAACAGGTGCGCACCATTGCAGCTTGTCTTCAGGCAAAGCTCGGCAGTTCCTGCAACTCTTGGAGAATGTCAATCAACAATGGCACAGCAAGCAGGACGTTCAATAGTGAGGAGCCTTGGCCGTGACACTGGCGTGCTTGACAACGGACCAGCCTGGATAGGCATGTATGGGGGCGAAGGGGCAAATCATGACACTGCAATTTGCAGGATGGCCTGTTTTCTTATTTTTGTCAAGTCGCTGCATGGCACTCTGAGAACACGGACGCATCAAAAGTCTTTCTTCAAACAGCTTTCTACAGCCAACGACCTGCTTTGGTGCAGTCTCCTCCCGAGAACTTTCTTCACATCACGTTTCACTTGCGACAGGGAGGCATCGTCCGAGCGATCAATTGCGGTGCAACTTCACCTGGAGGATTCTGCGAAGTAGCTCGACATCAATCTTTCAATTGCATTTTGGGCACCTGGGATGGCTGACTGCGCGCCCCGAAGCAGCAGTTTTTCTGATTCCCTGCAAATATCTACAGAAACACCGTAGTCCAACTGCAGTGCCTCGATGTCAGCACACATGGAATCAAAATTGACGTTCATATGGGGCAAACTTCCCCATCGACTGCATGAAGGCTCAACCAATACTTGCACACCTTCGTGAGAATATCTCTGGAACGTTTGTTCACAAACATCCTCTTCAAGTTCCGACAGCGGCACACCGGCGACTTCCACAATAAAATCATCAGCTCGCAAACCAAATGAATCTTTGACCTGGTTCACCCGTATCCCCCACCATGTCGCTGCCCAGGTGAATTGCAAACTAGGCAGGGCCATACGCTTTCTGGGCTGCAAAAATCCTGGCTTGTCAAAAACGAAGAGTTGCTCCGGGTGCAAACGTTCCCCATCTTCTCGTCTTGCCTGCCTCAGTCCCAGAAAAATTGCAAAATCAGGTCCTGATCCTCAAAACAGAGAAGCCTCTCGTCGACCCTGAGTTTCCCCACAACCCCACCCACCCCACCATTCTTGCAGTGGTGAGCCACCGCTCTAGGTTGAGGGCTCGCTCTGCTTGCTCGTCACCTTGCATGAAATTGAAAATGAGTCGCAAAGAATGCAACAGCACCAACTGCGACACGAAAGCAAACAGTAACCAAGTCAAGCTAAAGAAGACTGCTCGGAAGATCACACCATGCCGGCCTTCAATCTCTGATCGCCGCTTGAAAGCCTTTAGCCGCTGCTGCTGAAGGAAAGACTCATGTTCTCGAAAGCGGTCGTCGACACGCTGGTGACCTAGCGCTAGTTCAGGGAGAACGAATAACAATGCCGCAAACAATAATGTTGCAAATGGGACGTTACTGTGTGCCGCCCAAGTACTGAACCCACTGAAGTTCCACTTTGCCTCCTTCTTCCTAGTTTCTATGTGCTGTCGCTTTTCTTCTTCGACTTGGCTTGATGATGATTTGAGGTCATTGAGGCCTTAGCGATGGAATGTCAAGAGAATGCGGGGACGTATGACAAAGTGGCCAGGGAGCCTGTTCCTTCATGGAGGCTTGGCCAAAGGTGCGCATCAGCTCGACTGGCAGTGTAGTAACCTTGCAGCTGCAGAAGCTTTAGCCTGGAATATCTTTCACATCATTCTGATTTCACAAGTTGTGAGATGATCATCTCTCGAGCAAGACACTGCTCAAGCTGGTGGCTTGAGAGGATCCTGAGCATCCGAAAGTCACGGCAGAGCTGGAGTTGTCTCCACACATACGCCTGCATTGGTCTGCCACGGGGAACATCATGCAGCGAAACATTTGTCAGGCTTGCCATACCACCAGCGTCAAGAAGTGTGACGGAAAGGTTGCCGGCTCTTGACTTTATCCGGCCTGTCTGGCTCCAGTTGCTTCTTGGACTTCAAGGGGTAGAAGCTGCCAGTGGCATCTGCACGGAGTGTGCTCGGAACAAAATCTTCATCCTGGTAGGGCGAAGAAATCCCCGTCCCTTAGGACTCAATGCCTTCAAAAGATCAGACTCTTGGGGTCTCTTGGGCCTCTCTATAGCAGCTAAAACAGCACAGTGTAGCACTGGTGCACCCCACAGAAAAAGGCACACTCAAAGGGTATGGATGGCAAGCACAGCACGCAACAATGGAATCAAGGATGCAGCCTCAACAGCGCATAGCACTCAGTACCGTTTACCCCTGGCTCTTTGGGAAACCAATGGGGAAAATATCAGCTCCAGCCTAGTACTCAAGGAACTTGAATGCAGTTTAAGGTTGCTTTCACAACTTCACAACGTTTCTTGTCATCATTGGCTGTCCCTGAGTGCAAGTCAAGCACCCCCCATTTACAACTCAAACACTCCTGAGGAAAAGTTGAGGTGCTGGGCTCAGAGTCTGGTTCTGAATCCTGGAGCCCTTGAGGAGCAGCTCGAACACCAACCACCACCTTCTCCTCAGATTAGCAGATTGAGAAGACCAAGATTAAATTGGAAAGATCGAGGAATTGAGTTGCATTCTTTATGTAGAAAAAAAAGAAAATATATATATATACCAAGACAAAAACGTAATCATACAAATGTAAACATACATATTGTATATATATATATACACATGTTGGGGGGTAGGCTGGGAAGACCGGGAAAGGACGTAAGTTGCAACTAACATCTATATAGTAACTAGTAGTTTCCTGTAGTTTCCTGTAGCTTCCAGGCAGGACACAGAAGAGCTTGGTTTCTTCAAGGAAGCTCCCCAAACGAATTTTGGGTGGAAGCTTCCTTGAAGAACCCTTTGCAGGTTTTGACTTCCTCAAGACACGTATTTTGAATTAAACGTGTACCCCGTTGAGCTGCAACTCGAAGAACTGAAGAGGTGTAGCGGAGGACAAAAGGTAGGTAGGCAGGGGAGGGATTGTGCATGAATGCCTAGCTAGAAATTGGGGTGTCCACATGCTCTAGGCGGAATCGTGACGGGGTGCCCACCCTTAATTGACAAAGGTGTGACATCCTTAAATTCTTTGAGCATCTTCGAATCAATTTGTGCATGGGCTGTTGCCATGCATGAATCAACGAGTCATTTTGGGTTTCGCAATGCTTCACACATTTGGTCAGACTAGGTCTGCCATCTCTGTACACAAGCACAAATGCTCTACATACATTTTTGCAACGTCACTTGGAAAGCCTCTAGCTGTGGAGAGGGGATTTCCAAATACATATTACTATTTGGGGGTGACTCGACACATTATTTACAGCAGACTCCTGCAGAGGACCACCATTACATCCGGGAAGGGGACGCCCGGGCTGTGTCTTTCAAAGTAACCATCTTCCGGTACTACAACTCTCTTCTGCTCCTCTGCTGGCTTCAGGATGGCGGAACATGCCCCAAAAGCACCCTTGGCTTGGGGTTCCATATGAAATTTCAGGGTTGGACCCCGCATGTATACATGAAACAATCATCATGTAGAAGAATGTCCACAGGGATGTTACTATTAACACCCCCCCACCCCCCTCCCCCCCTTCCCAACCCCATCTGACCTGAACAACAAATGTAAACTTCATCAAAAAATGAGCACCTGTATGGAGACCTGGCCCAACAACATGCCATGTACACGGCGCATCAATTCAATTTGTGTGTGCGCAGGTGAGCGAAATCTGTGTTTGCAGGTGAGTTTGTGGTACCAGGCACCTTCCCTCCCTCCCTTCCTTCCTTCATTCCTTCATTCATTCGTTCACTCATTAATATCATTCATGAATGCGTTCCTTGGTTCATTCATTCATTTTTTCTTTCATTCATTCATTCAATCTTTTCTTTCGTTGCATTTCATTTCATTCCATTTCATTTCATCTCATTCATTTCATTTTTTCTTTCATTCATTCATGCATGCATGCATCCATTCATTCATTCGTGCGTTCATTCATTCATTCATTCATTCATTTTGCTTCACTTCACTTCACTTCATGTCATTTCATGTCACGTCACGTCACGTCATGTCCTTTCTTTCCTTTCTTTCATTTCATTCATGTCATTCGTTCACTCGTTCATTCATTCATTCATTCATTCACTCATTCATTCGTTCACTCATTTATTTATATCATTCATGAATGCGTTCCTTGATTGATTATTTCATTCATTCGGGCTGCGGGTTTTCTGTTCCCACTATGGTGTGTTTGGTTCCTGTGGTGTTTCCTTTCCCGAAATGGTGTTTTCTGTTCCCGCGAATGCTTTGTGTTCACGCAGGTGTTATCTGTTCCCGCCGGTGAGTTGAAATGTTACCGCTTTCCAATTTTACGTTCCCGAAAAGAGTTTTCTGTGTCCAGCAGTGTTTTCCGTTCCCGTGCAGGAGTTTTCTGTTCCCGCCGCGTTAGCGGTCAAAAAAACATTGAAAAACTGCGTAGACTGGCGCTTTCTGTTCCCGCATGGTTCGGGTGAGGTCCTGTGTATGTTCGTTCGACGACGATCAGTACCAGCAGCAGCAATACGACTCTACTGGTACTGATGGCACTACGAGTGCTAGGCCAAGTCCTGGCGACGATTAATGCTATACTACTACGACTACTGCAACTACTCCTACGACGACAACCACTACCACTACTACCACAACTACCACCACCACGACAACTACCAGCACTACTACTACTACTCCTCCTCCTCCTCCTGCTGCTGCTGCTACTGCTACTGCTACTGCTACTGCTACTGCTACTACTGCAATTTCTGCTACTACTGCTACTAGTACTACGCCTACTGCTACTAGTACTAGAGCAGTTGCACTTGCAAAGAACACCCGCGCACGACCGCTGCACGAGCTTTCGCATTTTCGGCTCAAACAGCACGGTTGCAGCGTGCGTTCGAGGCTGCCCAGCATCCAATCAGAGGCATCACCTGCGCGAGGGACGACAGCGACATAGAAAAGAAAAGCATAAAGTAGCACAGAACGCTGCACGCCTGCGCTGCTGTTTCGCAGTGGTAGCGCGGTAGCGCGCTTGTAATCAAGCTTCTCCTGTTGTGGGCCAGGCTCGGCAGAGCGTTTCCGACCTGTCTTCGCATTGCCCATGAGAGGCAAAGGGTGGAGACGATGTCCAAGGAAAGAAGGATGCCAAAGTCACAGGCTGAGACATCACGGCTGCGCCTGGAAGACAGCACGGAGGCTTGGCAGTTGCAGTTCGCGCGCCTGGTTCAGAATTCCGCGCTCATGCCATAACTTGGATCGCTGGCAGCTATATATGACGCGCGTGCCAAAGTGCGCGGCGCGCAGATTCAAAGGTAGCAGCCGTTCATTCTGCAAACCGTGCTGCAGCAGTGCGACCAGCTTGGGACAAAGCGTGGCTGCTGATGAGGCTGGGGTCGATGTCCTCGGGTCGGATAGCAGGAATACAAGAGACACACAAACGTGTTTGCAACAGCTCGGGTTGAATCGGACATAGTACGAGGACGACTGCTACTGCTACTACTAGTGTACTATGTACTGATACTACAGGACTTCTACGACGACTACTACTACTGCCACTTGGCCGAACTTGTGCCACACACTATACCCTCATGTCATTTGAAGGGTCCTGAGCCACTGCATTGTAGACCCCAAACCATGGGCCCAATGCTTATCGCCTACCCCCGGTATTCCCTACCACGCGAGACACCTCCATGAAAGCATCATGTAAGCTTGGTTTTTCCTCCACAGTCCTAGCTGACAACAGTCCAGTGGCGTTGAAATAACCCGCGCTGCACTGCACAGTCTCCTTGTTTCTTCTTTGCAGCGAACACTTGTTTTATTTGGATCTGGTGTGCTGCCGGGCAAACCAACCAAGCACGCAACAAACCAACCAACCAACATGTGGAAATAATCCGCGCTGCGCAGTCTCTTTGTCTTTTTGTCTGCCCCTGCGCCACGAAGCCTGCTCCAGCTCCAACGCTTCTCCCACCTACTTGTGTGGGTACGCGCGACTTTAAGTCGCCCCCCAGGTTGTCAACGCACGACACAGTCGCAATATCGCTGACGTTCTCCTATCATACCCTTCCCAGATGCGGGTCTTTGCATGGAGCGCGCTCTATGCGTGGAACTTTTTGGTTGGGCAAAGTCACACCGACATATCTCCTCAATTGCGCTGTCCTCCAAGAGGTTGCGGCTGCAGCAACTTTTCTCCACTCACGCGACATTTGTGTTTCATTGCTGGCCATATCAAAACACCGCCAACAACCAACGGGCACACAAGATCACAGAATTGCCGGGAACAAAAAACACCTTGACGGCGTTGCCGGGAACAAAAAACCTTGGCGGCTACAAAAAGCACCCCACTGGCGGGAACAGAAAACACCTGCAGGAACACAAAACACCCGCGGGAACAGAAAACACCATTCCGGGAAAGGGAAACACCACGGGAACAAAACACACCAAAATGGGAACAAAAAACACTATATCGTTCATTCGTTCATTCATCATTCATTCATTCATTCATTCATTCATTCTTTCTTTTCATGTCATTTCATTTCATTTCCATTCATTCAATTCATTCAAATCAACTCAACTCAACTCAACTCAGTTCAGTTCAAATCATTCATTCATTCACTCATTCATGCATTCATTCATTCATTCATTTCTCCATTTCGTTTCATTTCGTTCCATTCCATTTCATCTCATCTCATTTCATTTTACGTCGTTCATTCATTCATTTCGTTCATTCCCCCATTCATTCGTTCGTTCATTCATTCATTCCATTTCATTTCATTTGATTTGATTTCATTTCATGCTTCATTGAATCCTTCTTTCATTTCATTCATTCATTACATTTCGTTAGATGTTTTTCGTGTCATTTCTTTTCACCCATTCATTCATTCAATCATTCATTCATTCAGCCCAGCCAAGCGCGTGCTAACCGAGCAGCGCGTGCACAACCGAGCCAATCCTTACGCGCGCGCAGGCGAGCAAATCCCGCGTGCCCAGCCGAGGCTCCGTTGGGGGGCACCTGGCCCGAAAGAACATTATCGCCCATTGAAAAACCTTCCGAACCTTCCTCGAAAAAGCAGGCCAATAGAGAATTGATCCAGGGGGGGCATATTCGAAACGTAACATTACTTGAACCGTGCAAATCATTCTAAGAGGCACGGCTTTATTCACGCCGCTCCGCGGCAAGGTCCGCCCGCACTGCCATGAAACAGTTGCCCAACAAAAGCGGCGAACACTTGTAATCCGCTTTGGCTTTTGGATGTCCAGCCCAAATGATTCGAACAGGTACTAGACAGCTATGTTGCCATGATCAATAGCGAGTCGGATGAGTGATGGCATGACGCAACAACGATCGTAGAAGGTAATACTCAAGAAGTATGCGCTATCTTCATTCATCACCATATATCACAAGGGTTCATCATGTTGCCAATTTAGTAAGTGCGGATCCAAACAGATTGTTGCGTCCAGCTCCCGCTCCCAACAGATCGTGCTCCCTTCGCGGCCGTCGGCTGCTCTGTCGCGGCCATCGGCCATGGTGAACTGGAACTGTATATAGAAAGAAAGAAAGATAGATAGATAGATCGATCGATCGATAGATAGATCGATCGATCGATAGATGGATAGATAGATAAATAGCCATGGCCCAAAACCCCGCTATTTACAGTTTTTTGAACCTGCTGTCAAAAACACACCGCAATTTGTGACGTTTTCAACAACATGGTCGCCAAAAACACTGCTACTAGCGAGGTTTTTACATTTCGCGCAAAGACGTCAAGCCTCGGCAATGCACAACAACACTGCAAAAGCCAATGTTTCTGCCCAACAAAAACGGCGAAAACCATCACCCAAACAGCTCCGAAACCGCAAAATCTGCCCCCTCGGCCTCCCGATGCCTCCCGACAAGACACATAGGAAAATGTGAGCAAAAAGAAACACGCCTCAAAACCGAAAATTGAAGACCAAAGTAAAAAAACACAGTGTTTTTCACTTTTCTCTTGCCGGTTCCGGGCAGGCGCATGCACGAGCTAGTCCATTCCGTGCTGTAAAAACAGTGTTTTTGAAGTCCGCCGTCGCGCGACCCATCAAAAACCCATGGTTTTTGCCAAAAATTGCCCCCCCCCCCAGGTAAACCTGTACCTCACAGTTGTTTATGCCATCCGGATGATCACGCCCTGAGCACCGTCGGTGCGGGCGGATTTCGATACGTTTTTGCTAAAGCACGATGTACTCAGACAGCGAGGCTACCTTTCGTGATCACATCCTCCCAAGCAGGGTCAGTGCGACAAAGGCACTGCTTGTTTGTGCAGCCGGCGTCTCTCAAGTAGCCTCAAGCCTCAGATCTCAAAACCCTTGTATGGAAGCCTCTCCAGTGATGATTTGCACACATGCTCTCAGCACACCTTCACCCCGTAAACCTTCCAATGCCCAACGACACAGGGCATCTGCGAAGGACTCCTCAATCTCCAGAACCTCTGATAAATCAACAGCTCCAGCTTGCTGACACCACCTGGGCTTTGCCAGACGGTTCTTTTCCTCTGGTCATGGCTGTTGTACCCCAATTGCTGCAGATGGGGGAGGTATCCCTCATGTGGAAATCGGCTCTCCACGTCACACATGCGGCAAAAACTATCAGTGCATGTGAGGACACCTTTGCATCCAAGTGGCGAATCTGCTGTTGGAATGTAGGCATCAAGCGAAGCAGCTTGCAGAAGCTCTTTCAACCCAGGGACACGCTTTGACATTCATAAGACGTCTAGCACAAGGCGCAGAACCGCCTCTATAACTCTTGCATGTCAGCTACTCCCTTGACCCGAAGCCTGCCAGGCTTTTCGACTTGCAAGTACACAACTACACGGGCCAAAAAGCAGCAGCAGTTCAGCAGCTCAGCAAGCATGAAAGGTAATCCGCCGACCCCGGCCTATAGCCAAAGCCTAGGCGGGGAGGCGCCTGGGACACCGCAGGGTGAAGCAGTTGGCCAAGCCTTGCAGAACCCTTCCAAGCACTTCCAAAGGCATGTGTGCAGGTGCATTGTGGTTGGCCGCGGCCTCTCGGTGGCCTGTCCGAGGCCTGCCTCTCCTCTTCTTATGGGCTTTTCCGAAAGCAACGTTAGACACCCACGGGCCCCGCCCTCAAACGCTTCTCGGCAGCCGGCAGGCCTGCCCCGGCCTCTCTGTGGCTGTCCGAAGCCTGCCTCTTCTCTTCACCCACGGGCCCCGCCCGCAAACGTTTCTGCAGGCCGCAGCTTGGCCCACAAAGCTTCTTCTATGGGCTTCCGAAGGCAACGCGGCCTCTCTGTGGCCTGTCCGAAGCCTGCCTCTTCTCTTCACCCACGGGCCCCGCCCGCAAACGTTTCTGCAGGCCGCAGCTTGGCCCACAAAGCTTTTTCTATGGGCTTCCGAAGGCAACGTTAGACACCCACGGGCCCGGCCCTCAAACGCTCCTCGGCAGCCGGCAGGCCTGCCCCGGCCTCTCTGTGGCCTGTCCGAAGCCTGTCCGAAGCTTGCCTCTTCTCTTCACCCACGGGCCCCGCCCGCAAACGTTTCTGCAGGCCGCAGCTTGGCCCACAAAGCTTTTTCTATGGGCTTCCGAAGGCAACGTTAGACACCCACGGGCCCCGCCCTCAAAGGCTTCGTGGCCTGTCCGAAGCCTGCCTCTTCTCTTCACCCACGGGCCCCGCCCGCCACGCCTAAGGCTAGAACACCCATCTTCTTTCCGCAGACGGGCAGCCACCGGAACGACACTAACGCCTTCAGTTACACATGCTACACTCCTCTTGAAAAGGGGTCGGCGGCACCCGGGCGAAGCCCTTACAATAAGCTAAGGCAACCAGGAATCATGACTCCTAGCACATGGTATACTAAATATGCTTCATGTATGTATCACCACGGCTACTGGCTGTTGCGTCATGCCTGGAAAGCCGGCACAGTGTGATTGCCGTTCCTGGGAATAACGAGATCAAATCATAGACTCTGTGACTCTCGATTGCAACGCCAGTGACCCAGTCATCAAGTCCATACCAAATTTAACCACAGGCGCATTGTGCTCGATCCCAACCCTCGCCGCAAAAGCATGCGCCAAGTCCCGAGCTGGTGCTGCTCAGGATCACTTGGTCTGCCAAAAGGCCACACAAACGGATACAAAAAGACCTCAGAAGGCACACAGGGGGGCGCACCTTGACCGGAGCGGGCCACCATCTCGTCGCCATCGGTCCACAGCCTGGGCTCGAGGCATTCGAAAGGCCCTGAGGAGCATCGACAAAGTTTATGGAAATGGTGTTTTACTATTTGTCTATCCATTTTTTTACATAAACATGTCTGGTTCTCTTCCATTCTTTCCCTTCGTAATGTTGAAAAAAGTCGCCCCTTGCCATCTGGAGCCCACCTGAAGCACGAGAAATGTTGGTGGCCAAGCAACTGTCCAAGCATTCAATTGCCACCTGCTCAGTCCAAGATCTTAAGGATGGCACCGCTCTCAATGTTGCTGTCCGTCCTTCTGCCTATACGAAGAGCCACACTGCAAAGGCAAAACAAAGTGTGACGTCTTTCACGTTGTTCCAATGCTGCCGCTTACTTTCGTCATGTCCATGCCAAAGGACCAACCTAGTTACTAGGGGCTCCTGGCATCGCTACTAGGAGCAAGGACGCTACTCGGAGCACGGTATGCATGGTCCCCCTGTGGCAGAGGCACACCTGAGGGCCGAAGCCCTCGAAAGCCACTTCCAGACGATGTGGGCTCTCCTCTAGTCGGCGGCTCTCATCAAAAGAGATGGAGATGAACTTAACAAGGACTAGGTCTAAGCACTCCTTTGGAATTCAATGCAACTGTCATGAACTTGCTTGCATTCTTAATTGAAGTTGTTTCACTTCAAGGATTTTTCTCCCGCCTCACTTGCGATTTGTTCTCCCAAACGCTCGGGCCACTCCACGAGACAAACATCTTGCCAAATAGCCTGGCCAAACTTGTCAAGACAAAGCATGCAGCTGTGACATGCTCCGTTCAACATGAAAACATATTGAAAACCATGTGCTTGTAGTAGTTGCTTGGCCTGCGTCTTGCTTGTCGTACTATATTTGCCCACACCCTTGTAGACAAAAAGTACGGCACGAGTGGTAGAGTTGTGTTGTGAGGACACAGGCGACACAGGCAACTTCTCGTCCAAAGAGCGACTCCAGTTGAAAAAGCTTACAACACAAAAGTCAAAAGGCAACGGGGGAGAGCTGCGTAACTGCACAAGAAAGAGCAAAGGATTCTATTGGCACGCTCGCACCGATGGTGGATCCACAGGTTTCCACCCCTAAGGGTAGTGGGTTTATATATATATATACATACATACATTAGATACACCACAGGTGAGAAAGTGGTTGGTTCTGTGCTCTCCAGAATTAGTGAAGGAGTAGGATCTCAAGGCTGGTGCTCCGTTGCTCAAGCTCGTGCATGTTGCCTGTGTTGGTGCTGTGGTGCATTTTCTTCTGTTTTGTGCGTTTGGGGCTCTTAGACGAGTGTCTGCCACTCGCAGATCGCACCGGCTCTAACTTTATGCATGTGATGTTAGATACTCAGCAGGCCCGAACATCTACATCTACATCATATTATAATCTACATGGTGGTTCAAGCAAATTAGTGTTCATAGCATGCTGTGAGATAGCCTGATGTGTGAGTACTTCCACCAAGCTCAAGACACGTGTAAAAATGTGCGTGTGCGCGCCAACGCCCGCTCCGTGTCGAAAGAGACAAGAACAAGAGTCCGTGGAGTTCTCCTCAAAGTCAATCAGCGATGCGATCTTGCCAACTGGTAATCGGTAAGGATCGATGTGGTGCACGGGGCCTTGAAAGTCGGCAAGGAAATTGCACAAACAAAGCATCTATGAGCTGTTTGAGGCCATGACAGTCAGGCACTAGGGAACTGTTACCGGCTTGAAAGGCCTGCACCTGGACTTCACGGAGCACTACTCTTTTTGTATGACATGGTCGACAAGCCCTTCTGTCAGAACCTTCTGCCGTATTTCAGCTCTGAACCGGGTCTTTGGAGGGTGGTGTGCCTGCGCAACACTTCACAACTTGTGAATGTCTGTGTGCACGGGTGTCTGGCTATCGTCTCAGGCATTCGCACGCACTGCCATAGGAAAAATGTAGCCTGTGGGGCACGCCCACTGGCAAACCAAATCGACAACTGTGTCTGTGACTGCTACCCAGTGGCAAGTATGACGGCGACGGCACGTCCAAGGCAGAGTTGCCAAAGAAGGATCTCAGGAAGCCTCTGGCCTGGAGATGGCCGACTCCAAAATGTAATCCTTATGTCATTCCCTTCGAGGCAGTTGCTAGGGACGTCTTCCCAGAGCCCAACTCGCCCCGCAAGAAGAACAAATCTCCTGAGCATCTCGAAACTGCGCACATGGGAAGCAAATGGAGCAACAGCCTAATAGCGATGGCCTCCAACCTAGTAGCAAAGGCCTCCAACCTAATAGCCAAATAATAGCGGTGGCAATGGCCTCCAACCTACTAGCAACAAAGCATCCAGATTCATGAAGAAAAAGAAATGATTGCCCAGGCCCGGACCTCGCTGCGCTTCATGGGCCAGCGCTGCACCCAAAGCCTCCGTCGCATCAACATCTGGCCTCACTCTCCAAAAAAAGCCTCTCTCGGCTGACTGAAACAGTGCACAAACAGCTTTTCAGGAGCTCCTTTTCCTCACGAAATGCACTCCAAACATTTGGCCCCCTATCCGAAAAAGAGGCAGCCTGAAGTGAAGCATTCTTCTTTCTTATAGAAGCCAAGAGCCTACGCAGTGAAACCAAGAGCAAAAGCGTCCCAGGCTGGAAAGCCTGGCTGCCTAGCAGAAATTCAAACAACCGTCACCACAGCTGATGGGAAGAAGCATCAATCTTTAGAAAAGAAAAAGACTATATAATTAGTTATATAACTAGTAAGAGAAACAGAAACGGACATAAATACATAAATGCTTGGACACGCCAAGCACGCACGCACCTTACTCCAAAGGGCGTTGCAACCTACCGCTAGCGCCGGGGGCTTCTTGAGCGGCGGCGAGAGTTGCGGCGCCGCCCCGCACCCTGACCAACAGACTTTTTGACAATGTTCTGGCAAACACGGGGCTGCGAACCAATGCCATTCAATTATTCAACTCCTTTGGCTCAAAATGATTCCGCTCTGAAATGCCATGTGGCCTTCTTGGAGTTTTTCAAGATCATCCTTAGCGACCCACTCTCACCAATGTCAGTGGGTGTCACGTCCCAAGTTACAGCTTTTGACAAAAAATAGTTCCATCTAGGTGAGCCGCTCTTGCTGGTATGCAGTTGTGAGCTCAGCCGTCATAGTACCACCACTGTGCGGTATATTGAAAAGTTCCTCATTCAGCATTGGATACATGTACATTCTTTGACACCGATGTCGTGTTCAACAGCATTCAAACATATAAATATATCTATGCATTATGCATGTATATATATATATATATATGTGCGTGTATACCTGTACAGTACTGTGTATATTACAGTATCTACATTCACTTCTTGTCCAACGTCCAGTCGATGGTGCCTCTTGGACTTTTCTCTTTCGATTGCGGAAAAGCCAGGCAAAACGCTACAGCTACAGCCCAGGCACCACGCAGGCACGCGCAGATTCGTGATTGGTGGCCTCTATCATGGCATACCTAGCGTTCACAAATTGGCTCTTTCAAGAGGCGTTGCAAGGCCAACCACATCATGCAAAGGTCCGACCTGCCGTG